ACCAAATTTCATTATCCTAGGAACGAGAAAGGCTAGGGGTAAATTTAAATTTCCCTGGCATTATCTGTCATTGGCCAACTATTAGGCGAGAACGCAAACTTTTGAAAAATCAGAGTGACGGACTTTAAAGAAGCGCTTTACTATTGTAACCAACTTACAGCAGGCTTTGTAAAGAACGTATTTTGAAAGTTTTAGCGCATTTGGATAAAATACAGATTTTATACAATTTTTTGAAAAGAGGTCAGTGCTTTCACAACAGAGTAAAATGTAATCCAAAATGGCCGCGATTCCGGTGGGGTTTAGACCATGGGTCCAAGAGGCTTTTAGTTAGGGCCTGAAGAGGTGCAAATGTGTTCAAAGTTTCAACATTCTAGGACTAAAAACGGCTTGGGGCTGGTGGTTTGAAGTTTGTTATTTCTAGGGGGCGCTGTAGGAAAATTAAGCCCCGCCCACAAAATATTGCTCTGGATTCCTGTTTGGAGTTGGACTAGGATTATCTCTTGTGATTTTGGTGCAGATCTGATTATTAATAAGGAAATGAGAGCCAATCGTATTTTCATGGTGAAACGCCTCACTTCGCCATGGCGCCACAGCAACACCATTTGACCAAAGCTCTCTGTGCCTTAAACGAAGTTAGGACAACATGTTGTCTGTCAGCTGACACAGTTTTAGGTTGATGAGGTCAAGTAGGACAGAGAGGGACCATTCCAAGTAAAAAACGTGACTTCCGGTTCTCAGGGGGCGTGGCTTCAATTATGTAACAGTTTTAACATACAGTTTTGTTGGGAACCGAGAGAGGATTGATACTACCAGGTTTCGTGTCATTTCAGTTTCATATGTAAAAGTTATTGCATTTTGAAAATGTTGGCGAGTACGCCAACTTCGAGGCCTGGCCACACCCCTTTAAAATGCTGGAAAACTCAAAAAGTTTGATAAGTTTGGATCTCACATGCCTTATCTGCATACATGCCAAGTTTGAAGCCGATGGCTCACAATCCCTAGGAGGAGTTCGCGAAAGTTCGACGTCAACAAAATTAAAAAAGTGCCAAAAATCGGCCTTTGAGCCAAAATGGCCGACTTCCTGTAGGTTTTAGAGCATACCCATAATGTAACTTTTTTCATGATTTGGTGAGATCTATGCACCTGCCAAATCTCAAATCTCTGCGACTTACGGTTTTCCCCAACTCACGTTAGGGGGCGCTGTAGAGCCATTTGGCCACGCCCATTTTGGATTCCATTATCATACGTAAATTTCACTAGGGGGACAATTTACTGCCAAGTTTGGTGAGTTTTTGAACATGCTAAAGCCTCCAAAATGCTGTTTCTTTTACGCGGAGAAAAATAATAAATAATAATAATAATAATAATAATAACAAACGGTACAGGAACAATAGGCTCTCGCAGCGGTGAGCTGCTCGGGCCTAATAATAAGAAACTTTCGAAATACAATAGGCCTTCGCAGCGCTTTGCTGCTCGGGCCTAATAATAATAAGAAACTTTCGAAATACAATAGGCCTTCGCAGCGCTATGCTGCTCGGGCCTAATAAGAAACTTTCGAAATACAATAGGCCTTCGCAGCGCTTTGCTGCTCGGGCCTAATAAAAAGAAACTTTCGAAATACAATAGGCTCTTGCAGCCTTCGCTGCTCGGGCCTAATAATAAGAAACTTTCGAAATACAATAGGCCTTCGCAGCGCTTTGCTGCTCGGGCCTAATAAACATTCGAATTACAATAGGCCTTCGCAGCGCTTTGCTGCTCGGGCCTAATAAGAAACTTTCGAAATACAATAGGCTCTTGCAGCCTTCGCTGCTCGGGCCTAATAATAATAAGAAACTTTCGAAATACAATAGGCTCTTGCAGCCTTCGCTGCTCGGGCCTAATAATAATAAGAAACTTTCGAAATACAATAGGCTCTTGCAGCCTTCGCTGCTCGGGCCTAATAATAATAATAATAAGAAACTTTCGAAATACAATAGGCTCTTGCAGCCTTCGCTGCTCGGGCCTAATAATAATAATAATAATAATAATAATAATAATAATAAGAAACTTTCGAAATACAATAGGCCTTCGCAGCGCTTTGCTGCTCGGGCATAATAATAATAATAATAATAATAATAATAAGAAACTTTCGAAATACAATAGGCCTTCGCAGCGCTTTGCTGCTCGGGCCTAAATATTGGTAATGATATGTTGAGACCCCATAATGTTAAGACCCCATAATGGAAATACAGTCTGTCTGAATGGCGTTGCCATATGAGGACACAATCAGAAGCAGCGGGGCCCCGAGCAGATCTGGTACCTACAGAGCGCATTTTACAAACTTACAGAATAATCCTCATATATAGAGAGAGTAAATAAATCAGTGTATACTAACGCGGAGCCCACAAAGCCCATCTTTATTGAGACGGATAATAAAAGTTCTTTGGACACTGTTAGAAACCACTGAGTTATGATTTCTAAACCTATTGAACCATTTCAATGACCTCCACATAATATAGTCCAGAACTATTTATATCTCTGACGGTGTTTTTACGACAAACTGTTAGGGCCAGACTAGTATTTTCTTTTTCTTTTAATACAAGAATAAAGTCATCACATTATGAAACATTATAAAGTGGTAATATTATAAGAATGAAGTCGTAATAGTACCAGAATAGGTTGCAAGATTATCGGAATAAAGTCATAAATTTACAAGGATAAACTAGCAACATTACCGGAATAAAGTCATAAAATTACGAGAATAAAGTCTTGGGACTATTAGAATAAAGTCATAAAATTATTTCACAAATGTTCAAGAATGAAGTTGCAACACTTTCAGAATAAAGTAATTAAATCACGAGGATAAAGTCACAACATTATCGGAACAAAATCATAAAATTACGAAGATAAGTTCCAACATTATCGGAATAAAGTCATAAAATTGCGAGGATAAAGTAACAACATTATCGGAACAAAATCATAAAATTACGAAGATAAGTTGCAACATTATCGGAATAAAGTCATAAAATTGCGAGGATAAAGTAACAACATTATCGGAACAAAATCATAAAATTACGAAGATAAGTTGCAACATTATCGGAATAAAGTCATAAAATTGCGAGGATAAAGTCACAACATTATCGGAACAAAATCATAAAATTACGAAGATAAGTTGCAACATTATCGGAATAAAGTCATAAAATTGCGAGGATAAAGTCACAACATTATCGGAACAAAATCATAAAATTACGAAGATAAGTTGCAACATTATCGGAATAAAGTCATAAAATTGCGAGGATAAAGTCACAACTTTATTGGAACAAAATCATAAAATTACGAAGATAAGTTGCAACATTTTTGGAATTAAGTCATAAACTTACGAGAATAAGTTGCAACATTATCGGAATAAAGTCATAAAATTACGGGAATAAAGTCACAAATGTATGAGAATAAAGTTACAATACTATCAGAATAAAGTCTTTAAATTTCGAGGATAAAGTCGCAACATTATCGGAATAAATTCATAAAATTGCGAGGATAAAGTCCTAACACTATTGGAATAAAGTCATAAAATTGCGAGGATAAAGTCCTAACACTATCGGAATAAAGTCATAAAATTGCGAGGATAAAGTCACAACATTATCGGAACAAAATCATAAAATTTCGAAGATAAGTTCCAACATTATCGGAATAAAGTCATAAAATTGCGAGGATAAAGTAACAACATTATCGGAACAAAATCATAAAATTACGAAGATAAGTTGCAACATTATCGGAATAAAGTCATAAAATTGCGAGGATAACGTCACAACATTATCGGAACAAAATCATAAAATTACGAAGATAAGTTGCAACATTATCGGAATAAAGTCATAAAATTGCGAGGATAAAGTCACAACTTTATCGGAACAGAATCATAAAATTACGAAGATAAGTTGCAACATTTTTGGAATTAAGTCATAAACTTACGAGAATAAGTTGCAACATTATCGGAATAAAGTCATAAAATTACGGGAATAAAGTCACAAATGTATGAGAATAAAGTTACAATACTATCAGAATAAAGTCTTTAAATTTCGAGGATAAAGTCGCAACATTATCGGAATAAATTCATAAAATTATGAGGATAAAGTCACAACATTATTGGAATAAAGTCATAATATTACAACAAAAAAGTTGCAACATTATCAGAATAAAGTCATAAAATTGCAAGAAAAAGTCTTGGGACTATTGGAATAAAGTCACAAATGGACGAGAATAAAGTTGTAATACTATAAGAATAAAGTCTTTAAATTACGAGGATAAAGTTGCAACATTATCGGAATAAAATCATAAAATTATGAGGATAAAGTCACAACATTATTGGAATGAAGTCAAACAATTACGAGAACAAGTTGCAACATTATCAGAATAAAGTCACAAATGTACAAGAATAAAGTTGTAATACTATAAGAATAAAGTCTTTAAATTACGAGGATAAAGTTGCAACATTATCGGAATAAAATCATAAAATTATGAGGATAAAGTCACAACATTATTGGAATGAAGTCAAAAAATTACGAGAACAAGTTGCAACATAATCAGAATAAAGTCACAAATGTACGAGAATAAAGTTGTAATTCTATAAGAATACAGTCTTTAAATTACGAGGATAAAGTCGCATCATTATCGGAATAAAAAATCATAAAATTACGAGGATAAAATCATAAAATTATCGGAATTAAGTCATAAAATTACGCGGATAAAGTCACAACATTATTTGGAATGAAGTCATTACATGCATAAATTATAATATTTGACACAAAAAAATCTAATAAAATCTCTGGTCCTAATACTCTTTTGTATGTTTTAATAAAGCATGAAGGTTAAAAAAATAAAATAAAAAACTAAAGTTTCTGTGTGTAACAGACAATCATTGAACTTTCCTTCCTCTGGTTCTTACCTCCCTCTGACCTCTGCAAGCCCTGATCCCGAATAAGGTCCTGAGAAAACAGAACAGAAAACATCTAAAAACATTTTCTATTATAAGGAGTGATTCACAGCAGCTTCGTTTGACTAATGTGAAGCTTTAGCCATTATGTTCATTAAACAGCCTTACTTTTCTAGCTGATTCAGTCGTGTTCTAAGAGAATAATGCTTTATAGGTTCTTATTAATAATGACCTGGAAGATTGAACACATAGAATGGATAACAATTTTAATCCTATGGCTTCAAACATTTGTTTTTTAATTGTAATGTTCTTTACTTCCTAAAGAACATGTTTATTTGATAATCTATGTTTCGTTTTTTTTTTGTTTTTTTTTTGCATAAGCAGTGCCAATCAACATGCTCATCACTTCACAAGCTACACTGGTTCTCTTGTGGGGATTTCATTTTGGACAATCATCCATCATCAATTCATCCACTCAGTTTTAAAAACAAGCCTCTTGTTATCCATCAATGCTAGTATTTGCAGGCTTTACAGATAATGGTCCTGATTCATTTTTCTCCAATGATGGGCTTTTACAAACGCACCACATCAGATTCAACAAACCTCCTCAATGCCAATAGATGATTCGGAAATTATCCTCATATACCTGATAAAGTCCACCTGTGCAACAGTCCACACAATGATGATAAATGTAAATCTGCATAATGACCACCCAGTTAATTCCATATTAGGCTATGAATGAACATGCAGCTATTTATTCGTACAAATGCTTAGAAGATGAAAAAAAGAACTTTAAAGGTTCGCAGATCGAGCTTCTACTGACTGAGAGATGAGCAGCAGAATTAGAGGACTAGTAAAGTAAAGTTACTTTCCAGGTCCTTTATGTTTGGCTGTGACACCAGCCAGGAGAGAAATATCAGCTGTGCTGCTGCCATTAACACCTTTGATTATATAGGTTTTGTATCTTGGCCTGTTTTCCCAGTGTTGACCTGTTTCTCTGACTGTGGCCGCTCACACTGAGCCTGGTTCTGCTGGAGGTTTCTTCCTGTTTTTCCTCTCTACTGTCGCTACAAGCATGCTTAGTGTGAGGGATTGCTGAAGAGTCAATGAGTCGATGCAGATAGAAAACTTTGAATCAATTTGACTGGATGATCTGGTGAACTGTAAAGTGTCTTGAGATGACATGTTGTGAATTGGCACTATAGAAATAAATTGAATTGAAATTAAGAGAATAAATAACAAGAGCTGAAAATAAAATGGTTGGGCTGTTAAAGAAGTAAAAATGACATAAGAAAAAAAACATTTGATCCAGATGTTTGCCATCTCTTCGTCTCATAATATATTAAAAAGTTCAAATTGGAAATTCAGGCAGAAAGTCGGACAGACCCAAACATCCCCATTTAGGGTGATAAACCCAGGACAGGGCCATGGGAGGGAAATGAAGGAAAGTCTGACCGTTAGAAGCTCTGCAGAACTTTCTGTTCCAGATGTTATATCAATAGTAGCTTGGTCTCACAGAGTCGCTGACTGTTCTTTCTATGGGCCAAATGACTTCCAATGAAACCAGAGACCCTGGATCTCCTAATGCCAGCTGCAGGTGGAGTGACCCAGAGTTTATTTAACAGCCAATAAAATGTCCTTAAGAATTGTAGAGCTGCATAACATAGAATGTTGCAGCTTAATAGAATAGATGATTGCTTCAAAGTAGCAACAAATGTGGTCATTTAGTGAAAAACTGGGTTTGGATAATAGCTGACTGATGGAACGATGTCAGTCTGGAGAACTTGGAGAATTAGTTTGTAGCTGATAAAAGATTAGAAATAAGAGAGAAATTGTGTGAATGAGATTTTCTCTTAAATCATCAATATAAACGATTTAAGAACCAATTCATTCGTACGAACGCTTCTTGCATAGGGCCAATTAGATCTAGATAAAAAGCTGTAAACTGCACCTCCACTGAATAGCATCAAAAGCTGGAAATCATTCATAATGTTGGGCTTTTCTAGCAGACTCACATCGATGTTGACAGGCTCAATGGTGTTGATATGGACATTGGGGGCGGAGGAAGAACGATCTCTCTGGCCAAACTGGTTGCGATGGTCCTCCTCACTCGTCCGAAAACTAGTTGGGATGGGGATAGACTTTGACGGCGACACTGTAGTGTGGTATATAGATCTGAGGAAGAAAGAGTCCCATCATTTCCCCCTGATGCAGCTTAACATGCACATCTGGAATGTATTATTCTACAACACCCAGCATGGAAAGCATGATCGCCACCATATTTAAATATGAACAATAATACACACAATAAATTAATCTGGAGAGAAATATCAGCTGTGCTGCTGCCATCAACACCTTTGTTTATAGATGTTGGAGCCTTGCCTTTTTTTCCCAGTGTAGTCCTGCTTCTCTGACTTTGACTAACTGGATAGCTTCCTGCTCTGACATGGGAGCTCGCTCAGAGCTCGTCTGCCTGGCTGTGTGTTACAGTTGCCTTTTGTATCTATGCTTCTTTTTCTATGTCTGCTTCTGTCTCCTTGAACCCCAGTCGGCCTCAGCAGATGGCCGCTCACACTGAGCCTGGTTCTGCTGGAGGTTTCTTCCTGTTCAAAGGGAGTTTTTCCTCTCCACTGTCGCTAAAAGCATGCTTAGTGTGAGGGATTGCTGAGTTGATGCAATCAACTGGTTTTCCTTAGATAGAAAACTTTGAATCAATCTGACTGGATGATCTGGTGAACTGTAAAGTGCCTTGAGATGACATGATGTGAATCGGCGCTATAGAAATAAACTGAATAGAATTGAACCTAGCATTGGGCTGAGGGACATTTATTGCATCCCTAAACTAGGCAGGGATGTTTGGACAAACGGGACAGAATATTTAGTGCATTGCAATAAAATAATGACTAACACAAAGCTGCTAGTAAAGAAATACAGGATCTAGACCTACAGGAAAACACAAGTTCAATGAGGCCAATGGTTGGAGTAAGGAAAATCAAGGCTTTATTGCACCGCTTCCAGTTTAAGCCTGTTTGCTGACTCCTAAATATCCAGCTGAGTTAAAGAGGCGCTTACCCAGTGGATTCTGAAGGGGGTAGCGATGGACAGAGCTCAGATACAGGGGTGGTTCCCTCTGAGGAAACCTCTTCCTGGCTGATCGGGTGATGCTCGAAGAACTTTGACACCAGCAGCAGACTGCAAAACAAACACATCAGGATCAAATCATTCCTTTAAAGATAACAAGGATGTGATCTTTAATAATTCCCTCTGGGATTATTAAAGTATGTCTGATTCTGTCAGATATGGAGCTGAGAGGCTGCTCAGATGGAGAGTCAACCGCTTCTTCAGACTGAGGAATGTAGACCTGGAACACATGGCCAGACTTTTACAGCCAGTAAAAGTGAGACAACAGCACCATCCTGTGGTCAGAACACGGAATCTTTACTGTATGAAACCAAAAACAGGAAGAAAACTAAAGAATATTCATCCTTGGTAGAAAATGGGAAATATTAAACATCTTTTTAAATGATTGAAAAACATATTTACATCCATGGTGGGACTTGAATAAATCGCATTTTAATCCAAAACCATCTAATCGACAAAATAAACCACCTTTTTAATTAAAAAAACCTTTTTCCTCCTTAAAATTGAATAATTAATTATATAAACACAATAAGTAAGTAAATAGTAAGTAAATAGATGGATTAAAACACATATAGTTTTAATCCATCTATTTAGGTCATTAAATCATCAGATCAGTTGAAAGTTATATTGATATTTTATACAACACCTGTAAGAAACGGTTTCTATAGAGGTGAGAACCTAAGACTGGTTTAATCCAAGCCTAGCTTAATCCCAGCCTAGCTTAATCCCAGCCTGGTTTAATCAGAAGACAATCCAAGGAGAAAGTGTTATTTTTATGTAAAATGAAAGCGCTGCTTGGAATATGACCTAAATCTGTAATGTAAAGAAAAACTGTAAAGATAGTTCAGAGAAACACTACATTATGGAAAAAAGAAGTGTAATATTGTTTTCGTGGCTGTTTACCACTCAGGCTTTAGACCCTTAACAAAGTTGCCACAGAGAAAAGGTGAGAGTTCAAAGGCTGAGTGACTCGCTGCATTACCACGGTGGTTCGAGGGAAAACCCACTGTAACACAGCGTGGAGGAACTGCTGGGAAACAAACACGCAGGAGCAGCTTTTTGATAAACTGGCTGCACAGACCAAGCTTTGATGTGACTTTCTTGATTTAAACCATTTTATATCCCATTTTGGTGACAAATGAACAATATAAAATCAATTAATTCTTACATCTGCCTCTAGTCACTTCAGCTGCCAATGAAGTAAGGGGTTAATGCTGCCTTCATGAGGTTAGGAAAGGTGTGTTGTGTTCAAGTGCTTTTATTTATTTAATCTCGGTGCATCAGACTCTCTGCAGAAGTTCAGTGATGATCTCTGAATGATCTAATGTTGCCCTAAAGGACTGACGATGATCCATAGAATCAAGCCTCAGTATGAATGCTGCTGCTCTGGGATCGAATCAGAGGTCTGTTTAAAGCTCAGAGCATCATGAAGAACAAAGAACACAGCAGGCAGGTCCAACATACTGCTGTGGAGAAGTTTAAAGCTGGATTTGGATACAAAAAGATTTCCCTGTTTTTAACATCCCAAGGAGCTCTAAGCAGCAATAATATTAAAATAAAAGGAGCATCAGACCACTGGGAATCTATGAAGACCTGCCATCCCTCAACAATCATTCTATACTGCACAGATCTAGCCTTTATGGGAGGAAGACAGTTCTGAAAGATATCAATATGTTGGGAAATATTGCCACAAATGAGATCAAATTAATGCTCTGAATCACACACCAAAACCCCCCCTTCTCCTCCTCCTCCTTTTGTTGACCCCCCTCCCACTTTTGCAGCTGAGACAAAGACCCCCTTTGTCAAAGAGACTCCAGGATTTTCCAGCTCCCTCTGCACAGTCAGCTGACTCACAGACCAATCAGCTGAAAGGAAAGCTGTGATCTCATCAGGACCAACCCCCCAGCATCACTCAGATTTAAAAACTAGTAGCAGCAACAACACTCCTTTTTTTCCCCGCTGCAAGCTGTGAGGAGAGACAAAATTCCACATGGGATGTTTCCTGGAAGGTAGTGGAATCAGCTTCCTCTTTTCCTGCCGCCAAAGCCACGGACTGCAGTGATGATCGTGCCTTCCCGCTGAATTGGGTGAGAAAGAACAGTCTTTCTGCGTGATGTTAGTCGAATTCCCCTTTTGAGGACCGGCGCTGCAGATGCGCTCTGGTATTCCACACCACAACGCAAAAGGGGAAAATCAGGAACTAGCTGTGGGTCTAGATACGGCCAAGGAGGTGAAAAATGGGGGCCAGTTTGTCCGACAACGGAGGGACATGAGTGCGAAAAAGTGCCAGGATCAAGGTGATAAAAGGGTCACCGCGTTCTGGCGCTTCTCGCTCTTCTAGCTGCTCCATCTTCACGAGTCGTTTTCTGCAATGGCAATCATACAAACAAAAGAAGCCGCTAAGGTACCAAACAGGAGAGCGGATGTAGAATTGACCAATCAGAGGCCTCCTGTCTGCTGTCACCTACAGTTAGGGAGAGGTGCAGCAGAGTGTCTGTGGAGGGGGCGGGGACGTCCCTGCGTTCACTGCGACACCGATGCAGACGATCTATTTTCGAAGTATAAATCAGCCTCAACACCTCCCTCCTGCCATCTTCCAGCAGTGACGTCACGGTGCGGTAAGCCTAGCGCCATTCTCCCCGCTTTACAAGCTAAATCAATGGGAACTACTAGACACATCTGCAATCAACAACAATTATTGAAGATTTCCAGAGGACTTCACCATTGAAATTCACCAGAGCTATAGTGAAACTGACAATGCCCACGTGCATGGCAGCTGGATACTGGAATACATCGGGTAAAAGTGAAATTCCACCTTTCTGGTTCCTGATCCTCCACGGACGGGTTGGTCGTTGGATCGCCAACTTGAAGAGGGAGGATTTGCCATCGAACTTCTGGCCAGAGAAAAAACCCGTAATATGTAGCCAACATTTGGAAGAAGAATGTTTTCAAGATGACTTGGATAACAGCGCGTTGTGAGTAGTGTTGCACCGATACCGATACCAGTATCGGACGGGGCCCCGATACTGCCCTAAAATGTTGGTATTGGTGAGTACCAACAAATAGGGCACTGATACCATTTTGAGAGCCATAAGTTTATTCAACTATTGTCACCCACTCCTGGTAGGCAATAAAAAGTTCTACTGGTTTCACTTTGTATTAGATTTCTTCCTGCTTCACAAAAGTAGGCAGCAGCTTGACAAAGCCATGAGGGCAATTATTTTACATTATTATGGTACCGGTATCGGCCGATACTGCACAGCCTGGTATCGGGTATCAGTATCGAGGCCAAACAATGGCATCGGTGTAACACTAATTGTGACAAACACCAGATACAGCACTGGGACTTGATCAACAGCCGATACCGCACCGTTACGTCACTAACCAGTAGGTAGCAGTAGTGTTCTTTGACAAACATGGATGCCTCCAGTAAAGCACATTCACATGGAAATTACTCTGAATTAAAAACACTGATCATTTATTGAACAGGATGGAAGAATTTCAGATTTAAAGAACTTTGAGAGGTTTGAATTCTGAATAATACTGGACTTTTCCTTTAATATAAGCATATGATGCTTCATATGGTCTCAAGGCAGCCAGCCAATGTGTGGCTCTACTGCTGATCCATGTTGGATCTGTGCAATACACTGATGCTCACTGTACTGTACAAGATTTTTTAGCATATTCCTGGCTAAACAACAACAATAATTCAGGGACTGGTTAGAGTGGTGTCAAAAGAAATAAAAACAACTCTAGTCTGGATGGTGGAATATGTGCACATGATGGAAAGACTGGATTTATTTTAGGTTCAAAGCAGATTTTCACCGGATTGTCAGAAATCAGAACTGAAAGTTTCTGCTCCTCCTCAGGAAACATCTGCAGGGTTTAACACAAAGTCTCTGCTAGCAGCAGCTGCAGAGACACTGGGGTCGTCTTCTTACTTGAGTGCACACTCAGAACCTTAAGTTGACCTCATGAGTTAATAATAAACCCTGTTCCATCACTGAACCGCCTATGAAACAAGCCCAAAGCATCACCCTACCAACCCTGTGCTTGTTGGTGGGAGGTGCCGCACATTATTACAAATAGTGATGTTCAAATGATCAGATTATCTCCTCATAAACACGTAGAGCAGGAATGCTTAGAGTGGAGATATCTGGGATGTTTGCAGCTTCTCTGATCATAGCCTGGTCTGACTTCAGGTTACAGTTTCTGGGTCGATCTCTGTTGGAAAGGTTGGAAAATAATTTACTGGACAAACTGCACCTGTATGTTCCTGAAAATTAAAAAGTAGAGCACATCAGGTGCTTATAGACAGAATCTAGCTGCTTCTTCCATCTAACAGAGACTGAGATAGGAATTCATTTTCCCATTTGGCCCCCATCTGGTTGTGGGTTGATTCCATTAATTTCAGAACCGGGGAAACACCACAGAGTTTAACCTTATTCCGTTAGCTAACAGCAGCGGAGGAGGAGACTGTTTATTGAGGTGTGCTGGTCTCTGTTGCTAGGGGCAACACTGTCCTTTAAAAGCTGTAGTTGGTTGCTATGTAAACTAAATGATGATAAAACTAAAAAAAAATAAATGAATTTGTTGTATCGTATTCATTTGTTCATCATTATTTTGACTAGTCTATGTCCACTGGTTATTAAAGCTTCACCTTTTTGACATTAATGTGGAAGCTCAGCATATTACTGCAATTATCATAGAAAGTGCTTTTATTTGGGTAAACGACCAAAACAAAAGGAACAGAGGGAAGCAGCTTCGTCATCAGTGCAGAACGTGAGAAGCACTGCAGAGAACTGCAGATCCAATATGTTTTTACTTTGTTTACGTCTTCCTGCTTTAGCTTTTATATTGTGCATCCAAACTTATTTCAATAGTTATGCTGCTATAGGCTTAGACTGCTGGAGGACATAGGGACCCCTATTTTATCATTTATCTCTATTCTCCCACTCTGCAGAATCTGTTAGTTCAATCTCTAACGTTCTGCTCTCTCTGCTTTTTCTCATAGTAGCTTCATCTGGTCTGTTCCTGTTTGGCTGTGACTCCATCCTGGAGAGAAACATCAGCTGTGCTGCTGCCATCAACACCTTTGTTTCTAGATGTTGGAGCTCTGCTTGTTTTTCAGTGTAGTCCTGTTTCTCTGACTGTGACTAACTGGATGTGCTCTCTTCATCCTCTGACATGGGAGCTGGCTCGGAGCTCGTCTGCCTGGCTGTGTGTTTCCTGGACGGGGCCGCCTGTGGAGCTGGTTGACAGTTGCCTTTTGTATCTATGCTTCTTTTTCTATGTCTGTTTCTGTCTCCTTGAACCCCAGTCTGCCTCAGCAGATGGCCGCTCACACTAAGCCTGGTTCTGCTGGAGGTTTCTTCCTGTTCAAAGGGAGTTTTTCCTCTCCACTGTCGCTACAAGCATGCTTAGTGTGAGGGATTGCTGAAGAGTCAATGAGTCGATGCAATCAGCTGGTTTTCCTTAGATGGAAAACTTTGAATCAATCTAACTGGATGATCTGGTCGAACTGTAAAGTGCCTTGAGATGACATGATGTGAATTGGAGCTATAGAAATAAACTGACTAGAATTATTTTCTAGTTGAATATTGTCTGTTTATTCCTGTTTTTCCTGTTATTTCTTTTATTTTCAGATGCACCTTTAACCTGTTTGGTTTGTAAAAATGTGTCCTGCTCAGGAGATAATAAAGTTTAGATCATCTGCATATGAATTATTGTAGATTTGTTACAGATATTTAGTTGCTCTTTTTTTTACTTTACTGAAAAAATAAACTTATTGATTCACTCTTGTTCATTCAACTGTCATCTTCCTGCTTATGATATGTTCACTAATCTTTCACTAATTTTACCAGCTTTGACCTTAGGAGCTTTCTTAAGGAAGACGATGCTTTGTGCATTTTTAACATATTTATTTTAATCTTAGAAAGTGGAAATTGTAAGTAAATACCTTAAAAATCAAGGATTTATCTGGGAGTGACATCACTAAGAGCTGATTTTAGTCTTATGTTGCATTCACAACAAAGCATTAAAAAAAGTAAAAGTCGCTCATATTCAGAATTCGAACTTCTGAAAGTTCTTTAAATATTAAATTCTTCCATCCTGTTCAATAAATGATCAGTGTTTTTAATTCAGAGTAATTTTCATGTGAATGTGCTTTACTGGAGGCATCCATGTTTGTCAAAGAACACTACTGCCACCTACTGGTTAGTGACGTCACGGTGCGGTATCGGCTGTTGATCAAGTCCCAGTGCTGTATCTGGTGTTTGTCACAAGGCGCTATTATCCAAGTCATCTTGAAAACATTCTTCTTCCAAATGTTGGCTACATATTACGGGTTTTTTCTCTGGCCAGAAGTTCGATGGCAAATCCTCCCTCTTCAAGTTGGCGATCCAACGACCAACCCGTCCGTGGAGGATCAGGAATCAGAAAGGTGGAAAAACTCTTTTTTTTTTTTCACTTTTCCCCGATGTATTCCAGCATCCAGCTGCCATGCACGTGGGCATTGTCAGTTTCACTATAGCTCTGGTGAATTTCAATGGTGAAGTCCTCTGGAAATCTTCAATAATTGTTGTTGATTGCAGATGTGTCTAGTAGTTCCCATTGATTCTGCTTGTAAAGCGGGGAGAATGGCGCTAGGCTTACCGCACCGTGACGTCACTGCTGGAAGATGGCAGTGACGTCAATGGCAGCAGCAATTTTTTGGGGGCGAAAATGGCCGCTCCCAGACTCAGTGATCACCACGAAAATAATATTTTTTTTACTGATTAATGCTAAATTCATTAAATCACGCAAGCGTATTAGTTTGAGGTATAAATAACGATCCACTGATTGTTCCTCGCTGAGCGGACTTTTCCTTTAAATGCAGAAATCTGGACGTCTAGTTGTGTTGCTGCTCAGCACTCTGGTTGTTCATCTGCCCTGTTCTAGCTTCAAGCTAGAGATCAGCTTGACTTTATTTACTTTAAGAGCTGGAAAAATAGTATAAACATGTTTTAAGTGAGAAAGTCCACCTCCAAACATCGTCTGTTGGTCAGGATTATGATCCCACTAAAATCTTCAGTTCTTGTTCAGAGCACCAGACCTCTAGCATACCGGCGGAGGCAGTGCAGCGTTACCAACTCCTCAGCAAGAAAGGTCGTAATTGGCTGTCCTAGAAGGTGCTAGATGTTTATGTTAATGCATTTAGCAGACGCTTTTATTCAAAGCAACTTACCTGTTAGGTAGGCATTAGTGTTAAGCAGTGGTCTCCAACATTGGCCTTCCAGATCTTCTGTCCTGCAGGTTTTAGATGCATCCCTGATTCAACACAGCTGAATTAAATTAATGGCTTGTTAACAGGCCTTTGCAAAACTTGATGGCATGCTGAAAAAGGTAATTCTGTCATTTGATTCAGCTGTGTTGAAACATGGATGCATCCAATACCTGCAGGACAGATCTTGAGGACCAGGGTTGGAGAGCACTATGTGAAGGACCCATACAGGCAGCTCATTCCTCCCAGTGGGGATTGTGTGCCAGTCAGGTGAGCTACCACTTAAGCTAGCCATCATTCTATTATGTGTCAAACCTTAGAAACGACAGAGAACGGCAGCAGGAACTTTCTGAACACTACCAGCCATTGGTTTGGTTCCGGGGTTCTCGGTCCTCCACCTTTAAATGAAACAGATGGGCAGAGCTCCAGTCCTGTCTGGAACTTACTCTAGCTGGTCATAGTTGACACACATGAGAGGAACCTCTGTGCTGCAGCGCTGGTGGAATTTGTAGCCGCAGGTCTGACAGCGAAAACCCTGGAACAGCAGCTTTCTGCAGAAATCACAGAAGGCCAATGTGAAGAAGGTCTTCCTCACCTGCCAAACACAAACAAGTAAACAATCAGGAGCGTGCTGTTCTGAGAGACAACAGAAAAAGCATAGAACACCCTAAAACTAGGAGAAAATAAAGGTTTGGTGGAAAGCCTGGTAACAGAATAAACCTTCAGAGAAACAAATTCACTCTTTGATAAAGCTGCTAAAAATGTCCAACCAAATCCATCAACTCTTAAAATAAAAATATGTTGGAATGCTGCGAAAAAGATTCTCATAATGTTGCTTCTACTTGTGATTGCAAAGGACATAAAATGCTCACTAACTTGTAAAGCAAAGAGTTACTGAAAGGTGATAGCTGCAACTTTTCTTCCAAACACATAACTAATTAAACATAGCCTAATAAACCAGACTAAATGTGAGATTAAATGTATAATCTAGTCTGGCCCCGATGAATGAGACATCGGAAGATTGTTGATGAGAACAACCCGTTGTCTTTCAAACTATGTCTGTGCCTATTGGCCAACGCTCTGACCAATTAGTGTAGCTGACTGTGCGACAGAAACCTGGTGGGGGAATGAATCCCACAGCATGTGAAACGGCGAATACGTCCTTAAAAATGAATGAGCATAGAGCCTCTTCCTGCTCACGTTTCAACAAAAACTCCAAGTCTAATCCTTCCTAAACTGGGACAACAAACCACCAACAGCCATACGGATGGACGGACGGATGGATGTTAACCATCGCCCGATCTCCCGGGGCAAGTGGTTTTTATTGTCGAGAGTACAAATTTCATTTCATTTCCCCGCCGGGCAAGTGCAATGATCGCAAAAAAAGAATTATTTATCACTCAAAATTACTTTAAAATCACCAACATTCGATGAAAATGACCCAGAAGTGTTGCCGGCGCCATTTTTGTTGTTTTGTACACATTCTTGCGTGATTTGAAAAAGGTTCGTGATTTGAAAAAGCCGGGTGATTTTCTGCCAGATTTTTGTCCACCTAGCGGTAATTTTGATGTAGTTATCAAAACGACAAACATGCTAGAAAGCGCTATCATATGGCAGCCTTCTGTACAGTGATGCAGGTCATACATTAAAAAATTTTCATTAAATTTTTTTCTCTTATTGGAGAGGTGCATTTAAATGTTATAGAGCTAAACATGTTAAATTGGTGACCCGCTATATTATTATTATTGTCTTGTAGCTGCATTTATTCTGTCAGGGAAAACTAATCCTGAGTCAATTCAAAGTCAGGAAATTCTGAAATGATGTCAGACTGTGGAAACCCTGAATAAAATAACTATGTATAATGATTCTCTAGAAAAGTCACATTATATTAATAGTATTATCTTGTATAAACATACCGTGACTCTAAATTAAAAGTTATTCATTTGTGACATTGACTTCTGTCTTGTGATTTATCTTAAGTTTTTAACCTGTCAAGTTTTTTTTAGATTTTTAACATTAAAATTTATATTTTTCCAAGAACACAACAGTTTAAAGCAAAGTTTAGTTTGAAAAGAATGAGCAGGAAGGATTGAAAAGCATGTTAACACGGTAATGTAGGCTTGAGTTCATTATCTGATGCATGCAGATACACACCAGGAACCTGGAAACTTAAAAAATACTGAATTACAAAAAACATTTAAAAAACAAACATGTTTCATTGATATATATACAAAAATTAATATTAGGAACTGTATTTATCAAACATTATACTGGGCAAGTAAAAATTGTTTCTGGGCAAATTAAATGTGAAAGTCACTTTCCCTTTGGGCAAGTGGTGAAAATCCTTAACATCAACCCCTGGGATGCCTTCTGGCGCCGTTTGTATTCTAACAGCCACACTGTGTTGCTCCACCTGAAGTACCTTTCCTCATTTCTTTCAAGTTATGTAGCATCTTAAAATGAAAAACTAAGAGGAGACGCTCTCTCACAGGTTTTACATCTAGTTAGTCGATTGAAATATGGAGGGTAGCAGGAGGATGAATAATGAATGAAACTTTTGTTGGTGTCATTTTTTCCATCTGTCCCCATGATTAAATACTGTGGGAGAGCGGCTCCATTTTCATTTAGCTGCTGCGTCTTCGTCATTTTATGCACTGATTTTACATTAACTATTATTTTCAATAAAAAAAGAAGACCTTGTGGTTGAAGGTCAGGGTTGTCGTGGATAGTGCATTTCATTGGTACATTAATATATATCCAGAAATCTGAAAAACGTACAAAATTGTGAGTGGTGAGCGGCACATTCTCCAACACTTCCACATGGAGCTCCTCCCCCGTCAGCCATGAGATGTCCGTGTCCCAGCCAATGGGTTTCTTCTCTCTGAAACAGGAAGTGGAGAGTACAGCAGGCGATTGACTCTATGTGCCTAAAATAACGTCAGTTTCAACATACTGCTGTATTACCATTACTGCTAACCTGAATCATGTACAGGGAGACAACTGGACCACCTCATTACACAAACCAACATCACCTTTCCTTTAATTAAAGGACTTTGTGCTCATCTTTTAGACATTGGACTGCTATAAATGATTCATCTATACCAGGGGTCGGCAACCCGCGGCTCTTTCATCCTTATACTGTGGCTCTGAGTTGCTTGGGAAAATAAATTACTAAAAAAAAAAAAAATGTATATTTTAGTCCTAAATTGGAAGATTATTGTGATCCATGACCTACATTAAAAACAAACATCGCTAACGCCTCACAGACAGCTTACAGTCCTGTGTAAAGATGAACTTCGTTCAGCCCCGATTCGCAGACGCTGTGCACAGAGGTTCAGGAGCAGAAGTCCCATTAACCAGGTTAAATAAATATTTATGCAGATATTTAGCAAATATTTATTTTTCATTGTTTAGTGACACAGTTCTTTTTTCCACAATTTATTTTTGAAATTCAGGTCAAGTCTCCACGACATGCTCTGAAAGCCCAAAGGCGATATAAGAATGACGGCTCACGGCATTTTTGTTGCTTTTGTTTGCTACATGAATAATTTAAGTTCAGCTTTTTAATTTATTTGAAAGAGACATTCAGACATTCTATTATTTTTTCAAGAATTCAAAATGTTCAAAATGTGTTCATTAGATAAAATTGAATTTTCTCTGTAGCACTTAGTGGATTTCATAAGCAACACACTTTAGTTGTTTATACAAAGTGTAAAGGTTTTTTATATATATATATATTTTCTTTCTATTTAATAAATGTGTTCATAAATAAATTCATTTTAGATGTCAAAAAGTATTTGCGGCTCCCAATGTTTTCTTTTCCTTGGAAACGGGATCAAATGGCTCTTTCTGTGTTAAAGGTTGCCGACCCCTGATCTCTACTGTTATAGCCTTCAGACATTAAATATTGGATAATAGGAGTTTATTATTATCCCAGAACTCCCACTGGCAGTCAATTTGATGGGGGACATTTTTCCCAAGTGTGTGGTGATGATGTCATCGAATGAAATGGTTAGTGTACCATATAAACCTATTGTGGATATGTACACCTTAAAACATCTCTAATATATATATATTAAAGGCTGTAGTATATGCTATTATTATTTGTAGTCAAATTTGTATTAAATCAGTGAAATATTATGAAAAAATTTTATGTAAAATGTCAGTGGGCTGCAATTGTGCGGCGCTGAGGAGCAGTGTGGGGTTAAAGGTCTTGTTCGGGGACCCAAAGTGGAGGCTGTGAGGATCGATCCAGGTACTTTCCACCTTCTTAGGGCACAGCTCTAACCACTAGGCTAACCGCTCCCTCATTTTCTATCATGCTTTTTTTCTGGGGCGCCATTAGGACATTTATTCTAGTAGGAACTAATCTGCAGAGTCTTGGTTCTGCTGGTGCTCATAAAGAAGAGGCACATCCTCATTAAAGCATGAGCAGAACAGTGGCAAAAGAAAAGTCCAATTTGAGTTCAGAAACTATTTATAAATACCTTATTTCTGCCTCCAAGGCTCAGCAAACAGCAGAGATTTTATATGATTTTTAAATCTTTAAATTATTCTTTGCTTGTTGCTTGTTTTATATTTTAGTTTGACGGTTGTTTAATGTTTAAATACCCATTAAAGCCAGTAAAGAGCTCCTTATGGACACCAAAGGGGTGGAAATCATGGTTTTCCCAGAACACCTACCCGTCCTGTATCCTATAGACCGCACAGCACTCTGGGATGAGTCCCCGCATCATCAGCGCTTTCTTCAGCGAGTCCCTCACAGTCATCCCACAGCGGGCTGGAACCTGCACAGAAAACAGCGTCCCAAACTGAATGGGAGCATCTAGAAGAGCAGAACCTTTCTGTTGTCGCTATGCTGAGCCTGCAGGCTTCAGGTGGCAGGTTAGTGACCCAAACAGACGTTAAGGTTTCATCTGCATCTAGAACGTTTCTCCTCTCAGCTGCTTTTCAGTCAGCCTCTGCTTTTACATGTTTTTACATAAATAAGTCATACATAAAAAAAGAAAGAAATGCATTTTTGCCAGAGTCATTTAAAGGCTGCATTTAACAGGAAGAAGTTCTGTTTTCAGCAGAGGTGATAAAAGAATTCATGTTTATAACTCCAGTAGAAATCCTGCTGTTTAAAAACACTTTATTAGAAGTTAGAGGATAAACTTCAGCTTTTTACTCCAGTAAAAGTGTAAAAGTAACATTTTTTAAATGATTTAAAGTATAAAAGTAAAAGTGATGCAGGAAAATCTGTTACGGCCAGAAGCTTTGCTGCTCTACCTTATTAAAGGAACATTTTGGCACAATTCCGGATAATAACTTCCTTAGGCTTCATTTTCTTAGTTTTATAACTAATGGTAACAGTGTCACATTTAAGTTTGCATCATCTTCCATTGGAGGAGTTCTGGATTATAGAGCATATCCATAGATGAAAAAGTTTAAAGACATTAACTTTTTTTGTTTTCAATTGTGCTAAATTGGTAATGACCTGCTCTAAGTGGGTTAAACCTTGTTAAAACCTGTCAGCTAAAGGCGTGTTTTAAGTCAAATTAGGCAACCATAACCATGACATCATCATCTGATGGAAAAGCCATAGCCTTTTCAAAATAAAAGTCTATTGTTGTTTGAATGTTTCTCCCTTTCAGAAGGCAGGGAGCAATGTTAATTTGGTCAACCAGGATGATGATGAAAATATTTCGTTAAGACCCCTTTTTCCAGTGACGATGAGGAGATGACGCACAAAAATTGTTTCAAGAAAACAAAAATATGACGAAAATAAAAAATGATTTTCGTTAACGAGACTAAGACCAGACAAAGAGAAGATTATGCGTCGTTGCCGTGGGTGTCCGTACATGGCGCCTGTCCCACAGTGCCTCGCGCTGCTCAGTCAGTGGTAGCAGAGGGCTTTTACTCCTAGAATCACTGGTGGTAGTTAACCGTGGCTAGCTCAGCTTTGCAGTCATTGCGTCGAGCTCAGATACCGGTGTACAGTTTTTTGGAGGAGTGGGCGAAAAAAAAAGCTTGGATGTATGGAGCAATTTTGTTTACAACGTGAAGGACAACACCAGAGGAAGGACGCCAAATCTCACACGACAGCTGATGAGCTAACATGCTGCTATAAGGAAAAAGGTGAGGATTGGGTGGGCCTGTAGTAGTAGGAATGGGTGTGTGAGAGGCGTGCAGGCGCGCATGCATGTAGATGTGTGTGTGCCTTCCTGTGCCTGTATCTGTCTGTCTCTCTGTCTTAGAAGAAAAAAGTTCTACTGATACGCTGGATATTAATCGTTTAAATTTATTCCTCCAAACTAGATTCCTGACACAGTGACACCACAGCCAGATCAGAGGTTGGGGAAGGAAGGGAAGTCTGTTGCAGAGATGTTTGGAGCCCCCCCACCGTACAAACCTGACTCCAAAGAGCAGAAAGCCCTGGAGAACTCAATGGCAAAGTGGACTGGGGATTCTGACCTGCCTCCAGGGACCACTGAGGATGAAGACTTTGTGGATATGATGAAACAAGCCGACAAAAGGTTCAATGTGTGCAGTGGGATATATGTTAAAAAGAGAATCAGTTCTATTCTGCACAGTGTCATACAAATAAAGTAGAGAAAAAGTGAAGCAGTGTGTGGTGAAATTTGATTCTGTACAGGGTTGACTAAAATAAAAAAAATTACTAAAATGACAAAAATTACTAAAATAGGACTAAGACTAAAATTGATTTTCGTCATTTTGACTAAGACTAATTTTAAAAAATCTGATGAAATTAACACTTTTAGGGGGGGGGGGGGGTGTTTGATTGGCAATGGGGCTGTTACATCTTCATCTCTATAAAACACTGCAGGTAGTGACACTTTTTTCATTAATAAACAGATGTGTTAAAGTATTAAAGTTTATTACTCCAGTAGAAAAATAAATTCTACTGGTTTAAAAATACTTTAGAAGTTCAACTTAAGCTTTTTACTCCAGTAAAAGTGTAAAACAACTTAAAGTATACAACTTGTTTAAAGTAAAACAACTTGTTTTAAAACAACTTAAAGTATAAAAGTAAAAGTAATGCAAAAAAAAAATGTTGAAGCTTTACTTTAGCTTTACCAGCTAAAGTAAAGTATAGATAGCAAACATTTCTACTACAGTATTTGTACTTTGCTACTAGATGTCTCTGGTTTTCAGTCTTTTTCCATTTGTTGCAGAAGGAACATGTTGAGGTCAGATGCTTTTCGCAACCTTTTCTTGGAAGCAGGAAAACATGTTTAACCGGTAAATTTAAAAAAATAAAAACATTAATTTAATCCATGCATTGCAAAATTAACTGAAATTTTTATAGTTACTGATAGAAATCTTTTCGCTTTGAGCACAAAATGTTGCTTAAAATCGAATTTAAGTATTTGAGGCTGAACAACAGGATTGTTTATATATTCCTGCCTGATCCAATAATGCAGCCATGGACGCACCAAAACATTGCAATGACACACGTTGGTCGACCTTATTTACAAATTAATCTAGCAAAGATCCTAAACTAAACAGCTGAGTTTTTGTGCTGCTGTTCTGTCAGACCAGCATACCTATAGTAAATATGCATGCACAACACGTCAGATTTGCATTTATCCCTTTCGTTTTGTACGAAAAATAGACTTTAAACTACCTCAATGCGCGTGTATCCCTTTAGTCCATTTGGTCATGTAAAAAAAAAAAAAGATTAAAAGTCGTAGGGAAATCAAACTTAAATGTCAAATCATTCTGGCTTAAATATACATTATATAAATTTACTTTTTATCAGACCATATTGTCCCAAAAGTTAGAAAATTTCTATAAAAAAAAAAAAATCCTGCCTTAAAAAAATTTTTTTTTCCGTTATCTTCTACAGGCCAGTTAGTTCTACGTCAGCTTGAACACCTACATTCGGCCAATCATATATCAACGGTCATCTGTCAATCCATTTTTCGGTCATAGCATCTTGATTCATATGTTGCAGCTAATATACGCAACGGTTGAAATCAGAAATCAGAACCCTTTCCTTTCCCATTGAGTTGCGTCCCAGTGTTCACGGGGATGGATGTCTGTGTCTTCTGCAGGCGTAGAGCTAACAGAACTGGCAGCGTTGCGAGGCAAGGGCTCAAACATGTACGGCTGGAAGCCTTCTACACCAAACCAAGCTTCTGCCGCCCTGGCGTCCTCTTCCACAACATCTTCGTCCCCGCTTTCCTCCTCTAAATAAAAAATGGATGACGGAGGAGACTCATCCACGACCTCCGACACTAAACTCTCCTCCTCTTGCATGTTTCCTCTGTCCATAGCGTTCCTTGACAGCGTCGTTTCTAAGTCACCAATTTAGTGCTACTTGGTCCCAATAGAATTTCCCATTGGGAACCTGCTAGCACTAAGTTGCTAACTGGTTAGCAAGATGCTTCAGACAAACCGGCCACAAACAAACCGGCTTTGCAAACCTTCCGCCAAAACAATCCCGCCCCCTTGATAATCAACCAATCACATTCACTTTATTCACTAATGTAAAGTCGTGCACCACTCGGGAGAATTCCGAACTGCAACGGTTTGAACAGCCGCTTCCCTACGACTTTAAGGTCAGATCACCATACACTTCAGAAAACACCAAGCGTTGTTATATATTGGGAACCAGTGTCCATATTTCATCTTGACATGATGACCAGAGAAGAGGACGCAGCTTTTGTGAATAACAGCTGGGGGACCTCTGCAGCCCCCCCTTTTTCAGCAAAAGCAGTCACAAGCAGTCACATGGCGACTTTTGGCTGGTTCTCCACCACAGTGGAGATGCGACCCAAGAGGACCCAGATCTCCAGAATGATCAAGGAAAGTAACCTTTCAGAACCAAACTGCTGCAAACAGACCTTTTGCAACACATTTCTTTTGAGTTTCAGAACTTATAGAGCCAGACTGGATGAGATGCCGGCCTTGATGATCCACTGAGACAAAGAGGAACCCTGCTGTGAGCCACTAAGACAGAGAGAGCCTGCCTTGCAGTTTAGCTGCCTGATAAACTCCAGCTGGATGGAAACTCAAGCTTTCCAAATGGACATGGACAAAAAGGTTTGCAGGTCTGGCATGATTAGGGACAGAACAAACAATTTGTCTTTTGATGATGTTGATCATTTCATGTGTTTACTGATGAGTAACGACAAAGCTAACAGGATAGATCGCATGCTATGCTATGTTGTGAGCTGTTGTTGAAGCTTGGTCAAGCTTTATTCACTAAGGATTTAAACACTGATATAACATTAGTGTTCATGTGTTCCTCAGATGCTCATTACATTTCCATTACCAAGTATGACCAAGAGTCATTTAGTGGAATCCTAATGTCTATTCGCTGCTAGCTATTTCAAAGAGGGTAAAGAATCATTTAGCTAAAGGTTTTTGGTTCTTGATTAAGCAAATCATTTAATAAAACATTATTTGGCCAAATAATGTTTTATTCACCTCATGGATTTGCATTGTGAATTGGTCTGAAAACATTCCAATTTCTCTAAATTAGTGAAAAGCTAATTTGATCACATTCCAAATTCTTCCAGATAAACTTTGGTTTCAAACACAAAATCCATCTTAAACTGTAATATGGTTTTCAACCATGTCCCCCTTCCTCTTTGTACATAGTAGTTTAGTTTAGTTTTACTAGTCTTGGTTGAGAGTGTTAAACTGACATTTGACTTGGAGCTGAATGATTTTTGTTAATAAACTCTTATATTTTGAACAGAAGTTGTGGTGAATTTATTCCATGTATGTGCAGAAATAACTGTTTGACCATGATTAGTGCTCGAATCATTCTTTCATCTATTGTTCCAAAGCAAAGCTAGGATGGACTGTGTGTCATAAACAGTATATAACAGCTGAAATAACATCAGATTAAATGAGATATTTTCCCACCCCTACAGTGGAGGGCAATAAAGATCTTAAAGTATCAGAAATATTAATTCCAAGCTGGCAGAGAATTGAATAGAACATAAATTCACTATATTAATATGACATCTTACCTTTGTGGGCACTGAACTTAATATCCCAACAAAGGCTTCCAGCCGTACATGTTTGAGCCCTTGCCTCGCAACGCTACCAGTTCTGTTAGCTCTACGCCTGCTGAAGACACAGACGTCCATCCCCGTGAACACTGGGACGCAACTCCATGGGAAAGGAAAGGATTCTGATTTCAACCGTTGCGTATATTAGCTGCGACATATGAATCAAGATGCTATGAAAGAAAACATTTGATTGACAGATGACCGTTGATATATGATTGGCCGAATTTAGGTGTTCAGGCTGACGTAGAACTAACTGGCCTGCAGAAGATAATGAAAAAAAAAAACAACACAGGACAGGATTTTTTTTTTTTTAAATAGAAATTTTCGAAATTTTGGGAGAATATGGTCTGATAAAAAGTACACTTATATACATGTTTAAGCCAGAATAACTGAACATTTCAATATGACTTCCCGACAACTTTAAAGAGTTTGTCCAGCGTTCTTATGAGGAGAGTGAACTAGAGAGAGAAAGCTTTAAGATGCAGAGACAGAGCTTTCCTTTTAACAACCATTAAATAACCATGAACGTATTAGTTTTAGCTATAGATGATGAACCATTGATTATTCCTTGCTAACCGGACTTCTCCTTTAACCATTAACTGATTACTAAATTATTTGATGATTATTTCAATAATCGATTAATCTGATTAATTGTTTCAGCCCTACATGAAACTAAAAAACACTTCTGATATCTTATTGTTTTCATGCTCTCTATTTCAGCCTCCAGCCATCTACATACCACTGTCCTCTGTTTGTTGGGCAGGAACACGCGGACAATGGGCTTTTGGGGGGAGCGTGGATAAGCCCGTCCAGGGTCAGTGGGGGTCTGCAGGACTGCTAATGTGTTGGGAGCTAAGGGAAAGCCATGAGCTCCCCCACAGACTCCTTCGCCTCCGATCTTGACCTCCAACAAGCCGGGCATGGAAGAGGTGGTGCAGGAGAGGTCGGTGCCATTCCCCATGGCCTCCAGCAGCTGCTGCTCCCTCTGCTGTAGGGCATCCAGTTTGCTGGTGTACTCTTCATAGGCCTGTCAGGAAGGACAGGAACACAACGCTGACTGGAGAGCCTCCACACACGGCGTTTTCCTTACTGAACCGCTCTTACCTCAAGGTATATGGAGGGGGGGTTGTGTTCTCCTCCAAATTTCTCTAGCAGAGCTTCCAAGTGTTCCTGCGTCAGCTTTATCATTTGCTTGATGTTCCAGATCTGCAGAGAAATGCAAAAGCAGTTAACAAGCAGTTCTAATAGCGGCTTTTATTTGCACAATGAGCCAATTCAAAAAAAGTTAAAAAGATTCCACTGGACTTTGTTTCCAAGTTTTGAAGACGTTTCTCTTCCCATCCAGGAAGTTTTTTCAATTCAAAATGTCAGAAATAGCGCTGAGCTTCAGGTTTTATAGAGTGGACCAAAACAAAGCCTTGTTTTGGCTTAGAAGAGATGCAAATCGAACCTGATGAGCGGGTCCGCCCCTTAGGAAAAGGGGACTTTGTTTCAGAGACATAGACAGGTTTTGGGTATTACAGGCCAACAAAGAAACAAAACGCCCCCCATTCCCAGGGTTTATACATGAACGAGTAACTTTAATTGAATGCTTTTTAATGCTCTTAGAAATAATCTTAATGCCATCAACAAATACCCATGACTGATAAATATAAGTCATGGGTACTATATAGATACACATATATATGCACGGCAAAATCCTTCGTCATCTTCAACATGCACAGAATGCAGCCATGTCCCAATTTCCTCGTTTTCGCGCCACTTTGGTTCAAATTAGCATTTTCCCCCCATTCTCTAGCCTCAAGCTTCTTTTTCCAAAGCATTTTAATGCGATCGATTATCAAATTTAATGAATTTTAATGCAAGTTAAGGCCTTTATTTAAAAAATAATAATTTAATGACTTTTAATGATTTTTAATGACCCACAGAAACCCTGATTCCAGGGTGCGGACCCGCTCGTCAGGTTTGATTTGAATGCTTTCTAAGCCAAAACAAGGCTTTGTTGGGCTACATTTAAACGGTTGCATTTATTCTGTCAGGGAAAACTAATCCTGAGTCAGTTCAAAGTCAGGGAATTCTGAAATGATGTCAGACTGTGGAAACCCTGTATAAAATAACTATGTATAATGATTCTCTACAAAAGTGACATTATATTAATAGTATTATCTTGTATAAACATACTGTGACTCTAAAATAAAAGTTATTTATTTGTGACATTGACTTCTGTCTTGTGATTTATCTTAAGTTTTTAACCTGTCAAGTTTTTGATTTTTAACATTACAATTTATATTTTTCCAAGCACACAACAGTTTAAAGCAAAGTTTAGTTTGAAAAGAATGAGCAGGAAGGATTGAAAAGCATGTTAACATGGTAATGTAGGCTTGAGTTTATTATCTGATGCATGCAGATACACACCAGGAACCTGGAAACTTAAAAAATACTGAATTACAAAAAACAAAATATGACTATTAATATGACTAACAAAAATAAATATTAGGAACTTTATTTATGGGCAAGTAAAAATTGTTTATGGGCAAAGGAAATGTGAAAGTCACTTGCCCAAAGGTAAAAATCCTTAACGTCAACCCCAGGATTGGTAAATTTCAATAGAACAACAGCTAAATCTTAGGAGCAAAGGGTTTTACTTATGCAGAAGGTCTTCAATAATGGAAATCCGCATAGTTGTCTGATCCGATTCCCTTTTATGAGTGGAAAAATGCATTTAGCAAAATTTGGCACTTTTGCCCGATCCCTAAACCTTTGTGGACAAACATGCTTCAACTTATTCAGTCCAAATTTGCTTGAGTTCTAGTCAAGATATGGATCAAAGTAGGGCTGCAACAACGAATCGATAAAAATCGATAAAAATCGACTTTTAAAAGCGTTGGCAATGAATCTCATCATTGATTTTTTGTGTCACGCGATTAATGCATCATCCGCCGTCGTCATCATTGAAACGGGGGAAGAAAAAAAAATACGGCAGAGCAGGCCAGCGCCGCAGGTGAGCAAAGGCTGTTTTCAAAAGGCAGAAACGTCAACTGTTCTAATGACCGATACCGCAAACGCACGCTGCGTCTCAATTCGCAGACAGCCTGCACTTTGTAAAGGGAAAAAAGTCGTAACATGCAACTTTTGTAACTTTTGTTTGTTTGGTTTTAAAGTGGGGAAACGTAACGTTAGTTTCTCAGGTAGCTCATCTGATGCTTTCCTTACCTTGTTAGTAGGTTAAGCAGCGTTTATATTTTCTTTATAAATAAATGAACTTGTAAATTATGAGGGCAAGGCTTTTAAAGTTTAAATCTTCTGGCAAAGATAAAGTAAAGAAGATCCTGCAATTTATGGAAGTAAAGCAGAATAAAATCCAGCAAGATCAGTAATATGTCAATTAATTATCTGCCACATTTCCATGTAAATATCTGTCTTTGGAGGATGTGTTTTTTAACACCCCTAGTTCTCTCATTTTTATTCCAAATACAATTTATAATTTGAATCACAGGGCTATTTTTATCTCTATGGTTCAGTATTTTCTCAAGTAGCAACTTTAACTGCTATACTTTCCTGTCTTAAAAGGCAGAACTCTTCTAGTCTAAAAAAACTCATTTGTTGAAATGGGGGGACCTATTGTTTGAACCCCTTAGGTAGGGTGACCAAACGTCCGTATTTCCCGGGACATATCCGTATTTCACGTCCTGTCCCGGGCGTCCAGGGTTTTTTTTAGAAAGTGAGGAAATGTCTTGATTTTTTTAATTACCTTAATTGGACCATTAAATTTACAGGCAGTAGGGCACTGCGCACGACGCTCCGTGTGACGTAATGCCTGAGCCGCGTCAGTGCGGGCAGCCCTGTTCTTAATCAGAGGCTCTGTTCAAAAACCTGGGCTGCATCCTCCAAGGACGCGGTCTACCTAGACTGGATCCTTCTTAGTCCTTGAAAATAAGGAGGCCGGAAGTGTTTTGGCTGTGAATTCGAACAGGTCTACCCTTCAGCGGGTTTTACCGCCATAAGCTCTGTTGCTTAGCAACCGTGAAAGTTGACACACAAAGCAGGAAAAGAATGAAAACCGAAGTTTTCAAAACTGTTTGTTTATTTATTTATTTATTTTTTAAGTTAAAGTGAACAAAAACTACATTAACAAGAATCCAGAGTGGAATAAAGGTTCCAACCACCAGTAGCAGGAACAATTAAAATCAAATGTAATGATAGAAACCTTAGTCAGTTAAATAACCTGCTGCTGTCATTTTGCACATCTCTGATGTTGCTGCTATTTTCAAATATCCATTACTGGAAAAATGTCCATAGCTGCATATTGGTTATTTATTCTCCAGTTTTATATTGTTAAAACACTTCACGGTATTTTATTGTTTATATTTTAACTCTTCCCTATTATGTTATTCCTATACATTTTTCTAAGGTCCATATTTTTGTGACCATTTTCAATAATCTTTCTGCTGCTGTAAATTTGCCCATTGTGGGACAATAAAGGGATTTTCTATTCTATTCTATAAAAAGGGTAGAAATATATAAGTAAATCTAAACAATGTATCTACAAAATATATCTGCAAAATCTCTAATATTCAACAACAAAAAATACTTAGTTAAGCATATTGTGCAAAACAGCAATAAAAAAATTTAACTCCTATCAGATTTATAGTTCCCACTCTGCAGATAAATTAGATAATGTCCTTAAATTACAGCCAAACTCATTTACATTGTAACAGATAAAACCTTTAGATAAACCAAACATTACCGCCACATATCTGACTCTATAACCATTAAAACAACTATTTTCATTAACTCCAGACGGAACTATTCACAGACTGGATTATATTAAACTGAACTTCCAATTTTCACCACTGTTCTGCGCCAAGTAACCTTTCCTCTGATCACGGAGCAAATCCCGAGGATGAGACATTATTTCTTTCGTTGTGCTATTCATTCATTACAGGAATTGTTAAGCACTTTTAATAAATACATTTTGAATAAAATTATTGTTTGTTATTGGAGTTATTGCTGTTGACTTTTACTGAAAGCATTTTCTAATAAACCAACTGTAAATATAATGTTATTGTAGGATTACGTAGGTCTATGTTAAGTGAGTTCCCATGCATTGACAGAGTTTCCAATGGGCTTTCATGGTGTTTTGAAGTGTTTATTTTGAATAAACATTTGGCAAGGCTAAAATTTTCTTTACTTTTTTCTTCTTTTTTTAAATCACATACATCATTTAAAATACTGGTTCCACCTGAAAAAAAAATTTCTCCATGCCTTTCTGTCACACAAGTAGTTTGGAAGCTGTACTTTCTTTAATTCACATACGTAATTTCATCTAGAATTTGTTCTAAAGACCCTCAGGGCTTAATGGTTTAAGAAACAGCTAAAGTACTGAATACCTTCCTGGCATAGCTTTGCCTTTTCTGTACACTCCTTCATATTCGAAGTTTATTTTGCTTCTTGATGCATGTAAAGAAAAATCAAATCTACTATCTAAATCAAAAGTTGCGCAGTATAGCCTGATTTGTCTCAGCTACCAAAGCAGTGGAAATGAATGCATGCTCAAAGGGGAAAATAGCATTTTAACTCTCCATCTTTTTACCCTTATCTGAGCTCGGGTGGCAGAGGTAGCAGCAGAAGTAGGGAGGTTCAGACCTCCCTACCTCGCCAGGCACAGGGGCCAGTTGGTCTTAGGGAATACCAAAGGTTCCAAGGCCAGCCAAGAAACAGTTCCTCCCACCTGTCCTGGGTGTCCTCCTGGTGAGGCAACCTACCTGGAGGCCTCAGCCACCTCAACTAGCCCATCTTGATTTGAAGAAGCAGCAGCTCTACTGTTATTCCCTCGCGGATTGCCGAGATTGTCACCCAATCTCTACAGGAGGAGCCCAGACACCTTGCAGAGAAATTCATTCCAGTCATTTTCATCTGCAATCTTTGTCTTATGTCTTTTGGTCACAACCTAAAGCTCATAATCAAAGATGAGGGTAGGAAGGTAGATCGACAGGTAAATCGAGACCTTGGCCCCTGACAGCTAGAGACGGGTACCTTGCCCGCTTCTAGGGCTGCAACAACGAATCGATAAAATCGATAAAAATCGATTTTTAAAAGCGTTGGCAATGAATTTTATCATCGATTAGTTGTGTCGCGCGATTAATGCGTCATCCGCCGCCATCGTCATCACATCCACTTGACTGAAACGGGGGAAGAAAAAAAAA